CCCGATCTGTCGCCGCAGTCGGCGCGCGCGCTCGCCGTCGATCCCGCAGCCTGCCCGAAGGAGATCTTCGTCCCCACAAGCCCGCGGTGCGTGCGCCTCGCGTGCGGCGCGTTTCCCCTCTCCATCGCGCTCGCGAAGAAGTACGCCATGCCGCTCGGCGCGGTCGTGCAGCCGCTCGCTTCGGTGGAGCAAGTCCCGGTCGTTAACTTTGGGAATGCTGGGATTATTCGCTGCAGGAGATGCAGGTCGTATATTAACTTTTCGTGCGCGTTCAGAGATGGCGGGAGGAGGTGGTTGTGCAGTATGTGCGCGTATAGTAATGACGTCCCGAGTGACTACTTCGCCCCGCTGGATCAGTATGGCAAGCGCCGGGACGCCGCGGAGAGGCCGGAGCTGCATCGTGGGACCGTCGAGTTTGTCGCCCCGGCAGAGTATATGGTCCGTCCGCCGATGCCGCCAGTCTATTTGTTCGTGCTCGAGGTCACCCCGGCTGCCGCTAATTCGGGGGCGCTGGAGGCCGCCGTAGCGGGGATTAAGCGCTCGATCGATTCCATGCCGAGCGAGGGGCGTACGCGCGTCGGTGTCATTACGTTTGATGCGTCTGTGCACTTTTATGCATTGCGACCTGGGGACTCAGCGGAGCCGTCTGTGTCCATTGTGTCGGATATCTCGGATATGTTTCTGCCGACGCCTGCGAGCATTCTCGGGCAGCTGGATGATTGTCGGCCTTGTTTCGAACGAGCTCTGGACATGATTGCGAGCACAGCTGCCAACACGAAGGGGCTGATGTCTGGAGCGTCGTGCCTGGGTGCAGCCTTAAAAGGTGCGCAACACGCCATGGAGTACGTGGGAGGGAAAATGATTGTTCTAGCGGCGTCCAGGCCAACTGCAGGTCCTGGTACGTTGCGTGAGCGGGGAGACAATTCTCTGCTGGGGACAGATAGGGAGCGCGCTGTGCTGCGTCCAGATTCCTCCATTTACCGCCAGATGGCAGTGACTATGTCAAAGTGCCAAATTGCGTGCGATCTGTTTCTCTGCCCACCCCCGTCAGGCCACTACATGGATGTCGCGACGCTCTCTCAGCTCTCAAAGCATACCGGCGGAGAATTGTTTCATTGCCCTAACTTTGACGCACCAAAAGATGCTCCACGTATACAACTCGCCGTGAACAGGGTCCTGGCGCGTGAAACGGGTCTTGAAGCAGTCATGCGCATCAGAGCGACGAAAAGCGTGAGATGCTCTCGTTTCAGTGGTCGCTTTTTCGTGCGATCAACGGATTTGTTGGCGATGCCGAGTGTCGACTCGGACAAAGCATATGCCGTCCAGTTTAACTTTGATGAGAGCAGCTTAGGCGACCTGCCTTTCTGTTTGCAAGTTGCCCTATTGTATACTACTACGAGCGGGGAGCGGAGGATTCGAGTGCACACGGTGACAGCTCCGGTGACGAATTCTTTGGTCGATATGTTTATGCGAGTTGACGCCCCCGCAACAGCAAACATCTTCGCACGCGAAGCAGCTGATGGGATGAAGGATCGCAAGCTGGATGAGTTGAAAACGAACCTCACCGAGAAGGTCGTGCAGTCGTTGGCAAAGTATCGAGAAGTTTGCCAGACCCAGTACCCAGCCGTTGTCGGTAATACCCAATTACTACTTCCAGATTCAATGAATCTGTTGCCACTGTACATGCATGGTCTCGCGAAATCACCCGTACTAAGCCGAGATGCTTGTGGGGCTTTCTTGTACAAGTTTGACGACAAATCTGCCCTTGTGCAAGATGTCCAGGTGATGAACGTCGCCGAAACCAGCGCATTACTGTATCCGACCATCATTCCAGTCTATGGAGCCTCTCTTCCTGATGAGAAACAAGCAAAATACCCCGATGGAGCTCCGGCAACCGTTGCTTCCTTGAAATCTGATTCAGGGGCGGTCATCGATGATGGAAGAAGCATCATCTTATGGATGGGAGCGGCTGTCATACAGCGATTTACGACCGAGCTTCTCGGAAGTAATGTGACTGGTCCTGTTGATCCACGATTCCTTGCAGTTGAGCTGATGCGAAGAGGGAACACGGCAAAGGGAGCAATAGCTCACGTATATAGAACAATTAGCATGGTCCGAGCTGCGCGAAAAGCGTCACTGCCGTTCCACGTTGTCCCTGCTGGGGATCAGCGCATGCAACCACGGGTCGAAGCGCTAATGACAGAAGACCGCACAGCGGCTTCGGTCAATTATAGAGAATTCCTCTTGGAGATCCAGAGAAGGGTTTCCCAAGCTGCATCACGAAAGTAAATCTTTCGGCTACAGTATGCATTGCTTTTCCTGTATTGTACAGGCAGGTAGGGGGCCTGACTTTCTCATCTAATGCTGGGCCCCCAATCATTGATAAGGATGGATGGCCGCCGGGCGCCACAGGTAGACGAAGCATCTTGCTAAGTTGAGGTCTGTAGCACAATCCGAAATCATGGTGGCATGACTTCGCGTTCCACTGGCGGCAGGTAACGGGTGTGTAGTTCATGCCAGTTGAAAGAGATGTGGTGGGTTTGTGTCCTGACTGACTGACTACTCAGTAACTATTTAAGTTGTAGCCGAATAGATGGACTCAAAGAGTAAAGAGCTTTAGCCCCAAATTTTTAGCGCGCGTAAAGTACAGATAACGTCGTTTCTAGACTAAATCGATTCTTGGTGCAATGCAAAATGCTAGTATCTTAGGCGTCCTTCTTAGATTCGGTCGTGATCGTAGAGGCGATATCTTCATCAGGCTTTGAGTCATCCCCCACGAGGTTTCCAACGACAGGATATTTGGATTCATACTTTTGGTACCATTGCATGTGTGTATCTTTCTCACTCTCTGTCAATTTGTCGAGATCACCGTATACCTTAGCAGCGTCGGTGCTACTTTTCGCGAGACCATGGGTTGCGTTTTTTCCTGCAAATACATGATACGGGCCTCCGGGACCATAAAAGTCAGACCCTCCACTCACATCGAAAACAGTCACGCTGGAGCCGAAGGGGTCCTTCACGGCGATGTACAGAGGCTTGTCATCCTCTCCAGTGGCATCTTTCAACTGCGACTCGGTTACCACGCCACTTTGAGTCGCAGCGGACGACTGCATCTCGGATTCACTGCCACTGCCTGCCGCAGGCTTGGTCACAGACTTGAGGATAGCTCTAAGCACAAAGGCGATAAGAATGCCGACAGTCGCTGCAGCTACGATGAAACCTCTGCAGTGTTTGAAATATGAAGAGCACACGCGAGTAGGAAATATCGGAGGCGGAAGAAAACTTTAGTCGTTGCTGGGGTGAGGATCGTATGAGAGCGCAGCGTGAAAACAGGCCTACTTACCCCGTGCCGACGGTGATTTCTGGTACGCTGTTTTTTGCTTCTTCAGACATTGTGAGTGTGTCGCGTAAGCAAAGAACTTGAAGCACCGAAACAAGTCGGGAGGAGGAATTAAGAGCGGCGCTCGGAAAGAAAAGCCGGCGGTATTTATGGCAGGGAGGCTGGGATCTGGTATGCAGCGTCTCGTAATCGTGGTCCTGTTGGGTCTGTGCTGTTCAGTAGGAAGAGCTGTATGGTGCTGAAAAAAAACCAAAATATTGATTGTACCCCCGCCAGTCTCTACAGTATACAGAGTAGATAAACATGTAAAGCTCCAACCAAGCATCGAGTTGGACCCTGCTAAAGGCAATCGGCGAAGGCACAGATCGGTGCAATGGATTGTGCAACGTATTCGAACCATGCACCACCGTACATACTGCCGGATAGGCTACGTGGAGGGAACGCAACGGGACCGCGCTTCCAGCGCAATCACGACATCAGGGATGTGACACTGAAGAGCGTGCAAAGGACCACTGCCCGCACACTGGCAGTAGACGTAGTGACCCAGCTGGACGCGTGCACATGTGACGTAGAGGACTCTGCCCGATTGGGCGGGAACCGAGTTTCCATCGGGGACGTACCAAGTGCGCGACGCGCTTAAAGAATACAGCCAGCTCGCCAACGCATGTAGTCACTATGATTGTATCACTGCTTGGTCATGACAGTGTTTGGACATATCCGGCTGGCGTCAGCACCTTCAGCTCAATACAGGGTGTCCAACGGCTCTGCAAAGGACAGCTATGCTAACGCGGTGTTATGGGCTAGCGCGCTTCGACCGGACCTGGGTCAGACACAACTTGTAGCTGTGTTTTCCATGTCTTTCCCCAGTGCAGCATCGCAAAACGAGCTGTCTGCAGAGTGAGCTGAGAAGTTTCGTCACTCCCGGGTCCGGTCGGCATCCTGCCAACTGGCAAGATGGTTATTTATGTAGGTACTGGGCTTCGCGAGTTCCGCAGGACCTCGATCGGGGGAAAAACACGCCGCGCCGAAAAAGACCGCGCGCACATGGCGTGCACATAGAGTGCACATGTGGTGTTTAGATTCGATTATTACCTCGGTTCAACTGGCTGCAAAGCTCCACGAGGAAAGGAGATGCGCAGCAATAGAGAACACGGGGTTGGATAGGGTGGTGCTTGAAAGTCGGAGGTAAGGCCGGGAGAGTGCCAGGGGTGGGGTCCTCTGGATCAAATACCCATTGTGAGAGCGGGCGGTCGCCCGCGCCAAAATCCCGTTTGGCTCAGTGATAAAATTAGAAATCCGATAGAGATCAGATCAGAACAATAGGCACACGACTACGTGTCTTGATGCTCACAAAAAAAGGGATGATTTTCGTAGTCAAAGATTTTGACCTTGTCCCCCTCCCAATCTCAGAATGACCCAACAAAAATTAGATCTCGGAAAGCCCACGAAGAACCAAAATTTTTACAAAACAAGAGTCTCTTTTTTCCCCCTCTTTTGGGTCATGTCCCCCTACCGATTGCAGCATTAAGCCTTTTTCTTTTTTGGGTGGTCTTTTATCGCATGCGATATACAACATGTGTTTACCTTAATACGTACCTTGTCGTATACCTTACATCTCTTTGTACAACAGCACCGAGACCTCTCCGGCAAACGCCTCCATCACGGCATCCGGCATCATATACCGAGCAGCCCCCTTTCCCACCCAGCGCGCTGCCTCGTCTACCGCTGCCTCAAACTCGTCGTTCGGGGCTTCGTACGCGCGCTGCTGCGTCGTCAGCCGTGAGCGCAGCTCGTCCAGGTAGGCCGCCGCCTCGCCGGCAAGGGACTATGCTGATAGCGGTTGGGAGCGTAGCACAGGGAGCGGGTGGCAGTGACAGATATGCGAATGTGGGGAAGGAGCGCATGTGGAGGACGGATATTCTACAGAGAGAGGGGAGAGGAAGGGGATAGTGCGTAGGATCGTGTACAGCTGAGTGTAGGTAGAGGGTGTAATAGGGGTGAGGAAGAGAGGACGCGAGCCTTGAGAGAGGAGAGTGCCTTGGAAACCGGGTATGAAGATGAGGGGATGAAAGATAGGAGACGGGGAAGACGTGGCGGGGGGGGGGTGGGACATGGTTGGAAGGAAGCGTAGTTTGAGGAGCTTGCGAAAGGCTTGCTTTGTCAGTGCCGGGCGGGGGGTTTGAGCGGTGGAGGTGAGCACGAGGGTTGCCAAGATGGCGAGTACAAGCGCCAGGTTGTGATGCGGTGGGATCATGTTTTCGAAGCGTCCATATCGGAGCAATGGCCGGCTTGTTTCCCGAGGATGAAGCGGGTGGATGGAATCATGCGGATGGATGCGGGGCGGGTGGATGGGGATGGAAGAGGTTTGGAGGGAGCTGCGGGGCGCGGGTGTGAGGGGTCTGTTAAAGAATAGGTTCGCGGGCGGGAGCGGACACATTTGAGACAGAACGAGACTGTCTCTCATGGTGCGGTTGGGCATCTCAAGTCACTGTACGGCACTTGCAGTCGGCACGAAATAGGTGACAATGCAGAGGCCAAGGAGACCTTGAGTTAATTTAGGAGGAAAGTGGCACGTTATCATCTGAGGGTCAAGAAAATTGTGCGAAGTATGAAAAAATGCCGCATACGATGTAGACTAAAGTTACAAAATTTGTTGCCATTGTGACGTTATGGACCGATTCAGTTATCGGACCAACCCCTGTTTATTGAGACAGCCCTGTCGCAGGAAATACTGCCCTACGACGGAATCTGTTTATATCAATACAAACGTCTCGGCGTTGCGGTTCCAACCGGCTTGGTTTCATATCTTAAGTCAGTCTGAAACTGGAGTTATGCTAAAGAAACCCGAAAGGCCCAAAAAAATTTGTCACGAAAGCCGCGCACAGGGTTAGGGTCTGTGAGTGAAGTGCCATCACCACGCATGAGTGGGCGATGACCAGACACAATTTAACCAAAAATTAAGAAATTTTACGCACGCCGGGATTCGAACCCGGAATCTCCTCCTCCGGAGAGAGGCGCCGTATCCATTTGGCCACGAGCGCAAGGGAAGTTGCGGACTTTGCTAGTCTTTCGTCCCATATTTATAGAACAGCATGTGTTATCTTTCGCCACACTAATTTCGGCGGCGATTTCTCTCTCCTATGCATGAAGCCGTCAACCTTGTCTCGTTCGTCATCAATGCGGCATCGGCGGCTTTGACTACGCCCAGGGCGAGCGACGCCGGAAACTCGAGCTTCAGCGGGGCCGAAAATTCCCGCGCCAGCACTGCATCCGCTCTCCGCGACGCTGCTGCCGCTCAGGTCTTCCCCGCCCAACCTCCTTCGCACTCCTCCCGCCTCACTTCGCCGCTCCCGCCCGCGCGTGGCTGGGCCACCATTGCTGCTGCCCTGCCTCGTCCCCTTCCTCACTCCATCCTGCATCTAAGCGCTGCGCGCGGCTCGCTGCCTCCCACTTTCGCTGAACAGCCGGCATCTTCCAATTCTCCGTTTGTCGCGCCTCGCCCGCTCCTGCAATTGCCACGTGTCCAGGCACGACCCGGACCTTTCCTCATCATTCTCGCTGTCGCCCGCGCTGCACTCGCAGCTCCTACGTCAGTCTCGCAAGCCACACTCGTGGAAGCCCTTGCTCTCGCCCGCACGGTCGGCACTTCGATCCGCTTAGACCGTCGCACCGGCGAGCCTCTTGTCGGGTAAGCGGAAGTCAAGAATAAAATAGGTCGAATACTGTCCTCATATGAGGATAAATGTCCTCACATGAGGACAATGGTCCGATAGACACTAGTGATGCGTGCATTCGCATCTCAGACCTGAGCTTGCACTTCACCGGCCGGCACTCAATCGGTCATTGCCCCAATTGCCTACAAGCCCTCCGTCATCGATGACCCTGACACCATGGCGTTCCGCAGCTCATGCTCTTTCGGTACTGGGAGTCGGCATTCGGCAACACCTCCGCTGTGCCATCTAGTCGAGTGTCGCATACGCTACCTTTTCTCGCGAGTCGGCCTTTGTCGCGGACGCCTCTTATGCGACACAAGTATGATCTCAGTGTTTGCCGCCTGAGGGAGTAAGCGACTCCGGAACGGTGTGATAGTGAAGGACAGCCATACTCTCCCTTCCCAAGAGCTTCGCTATGTCACCTCCAACCAGACACCCGATCCAGCCTCTGGTCACTTCCCCTTGATGCTGACATCAGCGTGAACAAGTTCGTGCGCTAATGTTTGTCAAGAGTGACACGGCGTGCTCATGCGGGGGGTGGCACTTGCTATATTCCTGGTATGCATGGGGGCAAGACAATTCGGCATCATTTTACCCGACGGAAGCTCCTTTTTTGGTTAATGATGACGAGGTGCTAGCTTCGCTGGATATGTGTTCTTTCAACCAATCATTACGCCATCTCCGCGAGTTGACTGATCATCGACTTATGATTGGTTGCGTTACCTCCACCCCATTGGTGCATCTTGTCCACCTATAGAATTGCCATCCAGTGCGTCTGCATTCACCGTTTCAACCAAGTATGGTTTCGCCCCGCCGTTCATCTTCACCTGCCCTCCTCCTCCCTGCCCTTCCCCCTAACCGACCGGCGTTACTTCCCCGTGTCCCTTTTCCGGCTCTCTTGTTCCATATCTTCCGCGAATGCACCCCCGCCTTCCGGCTTTGTAAATGCAACTCGTCCTGCTCTACCTGCTTTACTCCTATTAACAAACCTCTTACCCAGCAGACCCTCTTGCTCAGCTACACTCCCGACTCTCCCTACTCCGATGTCCAAACCCATGAACATATCAAATCTTCCACCGGCGGCCCGCAACGCTATTGCCACAGTGCGCCGCGTACGCAAGCTTTCGGCTCCGTATCTTCCAACAATCTGTCGCGTCCTCCTCGTCTCCACTTTCGTCGAAGATGGCGTCCGTATCCTTTTCGAGATGCGCCACCAAGTCGACTTCTTGACACACGAGTACATGCTTCCTGGCTTCATTGCCACCTTTATGCTGCTCATCAACATTGTTGTCTCGTTTCTGGCTGTTGTCTTCATCCTTGGGCGAAAGAAGATCGCAAGAGGTGCTTACGAAAACTACGCTGCGTACGCTCTCATCGCATGCATCGCGTACCAACAAATCCTCTACGGCAGACATTCTCCGATCGGCTCGGGTAATGTGGGCTTCCTAGTCAGAAACCTGTGCTTGTCGGGCAGTTTGTTGCTCATCACATGCCAGACTCGTATGGCCTCCGGTCGAAGCGCCCTGCCAATGGGTTTGCTCGATGGTCAAACTGACAAGAAGACAACAGTTTCATATCTCCAGCTCGCCTCCCGCATCCTGCTCGTCTTGCTCGCTATTGAATTCTCTTTCACTATGGGGACCGTAGGCACTGTGCTTACTCTACCTGTCATCCTTGCTGTGCTCGTCGGATATCAACTGGAGATCTCTGGCGGTATATTATTAATCCTCTACCTCGCCCACAATATCATCCAATCCGCCTTCTGGTCTGTTTCGGGCTCCTACGTCTCGCAGATCATGCAATACGAGTACGTCAATCCTCACTTCGTCAGTCTGCGAACCGCCTACGTTATATCAAAATGCTACACATGCATGTCATCCCTTGCGGAGTCCCAGTGCGACAAAATCGGCCACCACACTTGTTAGATTCTAACCGTTTACCTGAATTCCCATTTTGCGCCTTGCCCTGTATGTCTATTTCTTCTCAGGTTTTTCCAAACTGTTTCGATAATGGGCGGATTACTGCTCTTGATACTAACTGGACCCGGTGAATTCTCGGTTGACGAGTTGCGGAGTCGAAAAGCTTTCTAACGCGGTCCTCCATCGTCGAACCTTTAATAGAGTAGAGGAACTGCAGGCGTTCATCGGCAGTATGACGATTAGTTTGCGGAAACGACGAGGTGATTAAAATGTGTACATTCAACAGCCTGCTGTCCACCTCTGTATTAGGGGCGATCTCTAAACTGCATTCCGTGATTCCAAACTACCCTCGACGCGATGGGCCAAGATAACTTGTCTCTTCCTGGCCATCTCCGCTTCACAAGACTTACCAAATGTCGTGAACGGGGCGAGTCAGTCAATCGCGATGACCTCATCCTTCGATGTTACGACCCGTTTTTGTGGCGAATCTGGCAGTTGCGCAGCGATCGGGTCTAGCCGCTGTCGCTTTCGTGCTGGGATCGCAGTCCTAGCACTTTCGCCGTAATTTTCTTTCCTTGGGGTTCGGTTTGAATGTTGCATGACTGCCGTTTGGCCTGTAGTTTCTTTTCCTGGAGCTGTATCGCCATTCTTGAGTGGATTGGCTACTAGGACACCCTTGTACAGCTTTCCGTTAATGATCACCGACACAAAGTACCCGAAGTCCGTAGCTTCAATTATACGTCCCGAAAGAGGTGTTCCTTTTGGAATTGATGAAGGTCCCATCAATGGCATACTCGGGTCAGGTTCTCCCTTCTCACCGCCATTCTCAGCGGAATAGCCCTTTCCTCGGCGCCCTGATTTGCCCCCGGCTGCCACGCCAGCTGCCTCTGGGCCGAAATCTGTTGCTCGCAATCCGATAGATTTCAAGTTTGGCAACAGCCTTGCCACTTCTAATCCTTCCTTGATATGACCCATCCCGTCACATCCCCCAAAGAGATATATATTGCTACCCGCCCGAACGAGTCCGTGAAGTATTCGGCCGTTGCTCGGATGTATGCCGTTTGCGATTAGTCGCGTTGTTTGCATTGCATCGAAATCTATAAGGAAAAATGTGGAAGGTGCTAGCAGTTCTTCGCTGTGTAAAATCCCTCCCCACATGAGCACCTGAGTCTTTTCTGTGGGCAACGCTATTACGCTTGGGCCGGCACATAATGGCAGCCTGTTCTCTGGCTTTCCCCTCGCGGCTTCCAAGGTCAGTTTCCGCCATTTCCATGTTCCCGCCTTTCTGCCTGACGGCACAAATAACCAAGTATCATTCAGAAGTGCGACACCACCGTCACCTCCGTAGATCATCATGCCGTTTAGTCCCGGGAGCCACAGGGCAACGTGCGATTCTCGTTGACTTGGGAAACTCTGGTGCCATGACGCAGGCGAACTCGGATGCAAATCTGTCCCAGCAACAACTTGATCCTTTCCAGAAGCATCTTTCACAACAATTGGCAAGCATTCCCATTGCCAATCCCTAATTCGCAGTCTATACACAGCGCTGTGCAGATGCTCGCCATTTCCAAATCCACCGAATATATATATGGCTGGCACTTGGCCTAAACCGTTTCCGAAGACTGCTGTGTGACAGCTGCGGGCGGGAATCTGCGTCTTCTCATCCTTTATTTCCCGCCATGAATGGTCGCGAATGTCAAAGGCCCAAACATCCCGAGACGGCCTCTGCTTTGTTGGGGACTCTCTCGTCACAGAATCACCGAACATGACCACCATTGCCGTTGACGATATTGCAGTTGCTGAATGCAAAATGCGAGGCGCCGGTGAAGGGCCATCCTTGTACCTAATACGGCGCCATTCCATGCGGTCAACATGGCAAGACCACATGTCGTTCAGCGCTTCCCCACGGTCGTTTTCCCCACCGAAAACAAGAACCAGAGAGGAGTCCAGAAGACGGGTCATGGAATGCCCCTTTCGAAGCGAAGGCGTGCTTCCGAGCGTTTTCTGCGTGCCCAACCACTCCATGACACAAAGTTGTTCTAATGCTTGCTTGTTTTGTGAAGATGGCTTCCTTACTTCTCTGTTGAGTTGCCGTGCAATGAGCGTGAACTCAAATCAATTTTTTTTGCACTGTTAGAAGCACCTCTAGCGAAGGCCACTTTTGGCACCCAAAGATCGCAGTGGTACCCTTGCTTGTTCAAGCAAGGGCTTCAAGAAGCTGAGCGGAACTTTCCTGCGACAAAAAAGATGACAATACCAGGATCAAAAACAGAGTGGCTCGTGGGCCTTTATTTCTTCTTATGTTCAAGACAGCAATGACCTTTTTTGGTGGGAACAGTTGCGCGTTGGCCGAGCTTATCAAAAATAACGGCATTCCTAAATTATTACAAGAAAACACTCCATAATTTCTTCCAGAGAGCGATGTAGGGGGGGGCTCCTCAATAGTTCGCAAGTCAATAGTTCGCTTGGTCAATAGTTCGCCTTTCGGACAGTGTCACGCCTTTTCAGACGTGTACACGTGTACTCGCAGAGACCGTTGTGGTCGCCACCGCCCTCCGTAAAACTGTCAGCAAGGCGAGCATAATAGTTCGTTCTGTCAATAGTTCGTATCTGTGGGTCCTGGCAAGGGGGCGAACTATTGAGGGGTACCTACTGTACTCTACAGTACAGTGGACCCTACTCATTAGTGCCGCCCCGTGCGAGACCCCAAAAATGGCACTATTGGGAGACGGCATTAATAGTTGACGTCGTCACATCTATTTTCATGCACTCGGTAATTAACGTCTGCATGCTCCGCGTTGGGTCTCTATCGTGTTTTGCAGTGAGAAACGCGCGCTTTGCCGACCTCAGATACGATACAGCGTCTGAACCTTGGCATTCAGTCGCCAAAACTTCCAGCTCTCCAAACAATTCCGTGATCTCAACGACAGAGGGTACAGTCCTTCTCTCGCTCGCGTCCTCTGCGCTCCCATCTTCATCACTTGATAGCGCGTTGCTTTTTTTATTTCCGGAACCGGATCCATAAGGAGGACAAGCTAAGGTCTGTGAACGCTATTCGGTGAATAGGATCGGGCTTAGAAGCCGCTTTCACATGTTTTCACGCGCGATAGACAGACGGCAGCATAACACCCGGTCCCCTGACACGTGGCACTTTTCGTGTACGTGGGTCTGGCCGGCATTAATGGGAGGGTGGCACTAGCAAATGTGGCACTAATGGAAGTCCCCCCCCCCCCCCCCCTGTAGCTAAAAACAAGGCATGACTGTAGAAAGTTCAACATGAGCTCAAGCAACCAGAGTTGCGCCAAAGAAAAGGTTTAAAGGCGGCTCAAGCAACAGATCGCTCTGTCCCACATGCTGAGATTCGATACAGTCGTTCGTCAACTTCATTTTTCTCTTTCTTTCCAATGAAGACACTGAAAATCCAGAGTTCAAAATTGTTTGCGTTTTCCCTTGTTTTTGCAAAGTAGCAACTCCATTAACGCCAGTCTTTATCCGACATAAACCGATACGCTCTCTACGTGTACATGTACAGGTGTAACAAAACCTGATTTTCTAAATCAACTACTATTCGCTTTCTTTCGCGACCCACTCAAATTTTTCTGTACGGATATCAGAATCTAACGGTAGATTGCCTTCTCCCATACGAGGATCTGGATGAAAAAAGGATCGATGGGGGCGAATAGACTTCCTCGACGACGATTCCTGACGCGAGGATCTTTGATAATTTTTTCGGTACGGCTCCATGCGTAATATCGTACTTTCTGCACCACTGTTCGAATCGCACACTCAGCATGGAGCCCAGAAACTTAGCTTTCCATGCCTTCAGTTGAGTTGGGTTAAGCCAATGCGCCACGAAAGGAAGGGAGACTGCATAGTTATGCTTGGCACGGAGCGCATTGATAAACCTCTGCCAGATGGTGTTTTCCGCCTCCCCATCCATATCTGCTAAAAAAATAATGCGTGGCAGCACCGAGGTCTGATTGTTGTAGTACTGAATAATCCCACACAGGAACTCATTCAAGACGTCACGTATACGGGGTATGCACTCACCAGGCGGTAGCAAAAGAACTCTTTCCCGCATTCCTGCGACGCGTTCCAGTTTTTGCCTGAGGTCTTCGTAAACTGCTTTGCGATGTTCGATCGACAAAGAAGTCGGAAAGCTCACACCGTGCTCATTTAGGAACGGGAAAATTTGCGAATGCTCCACCTCGAATAGCACCAGCACGACGCTTTCGAATGTATCAAACCAGTCGAAGAACATCTCCGTATGCTTATGCGTGACTTCATATTTATACCGTAGCAAGACTTCGAGCATGTTATAAGCTTGGAGAATTTGCTTTCTGACGGCATTCTGAAAGAGAGCGAAAACATCAAAGATAGGTCCGAATTCTCCGTACGCGGCGGGGAGGATGACGGGGTGCCCGTGGGCATATTTGCGATCGGAATTTTTTTTGATTTTCTCGAACGGAGACAGGATGGAATCAGGAGTAATGACGATGTCAGGGACGGAGGCTCCCCGGTCTTCCGGCTGGGGGATAGTTAGTTCATTCGGCATGAAAACCTTATCTCTATGTACAAATGACTTTGATGATGCGTTGCGATGGCCCATCGAGCGGCGAAGCTTGAGTTTGGAAGAACGAAAGGATTTGGAGGATTTCGGCGATGCCTCCATGCTTTGATGAGGTATAGCAGATATGATGAAGAGTTTTTGTGTATCTGTGTTTTGTTCAAGTGGCAAAGGAGGGCGACAGCGGAGAGAGTTGCGGACAGCGTAGATAAGGAAGTTTGGGGGAGTCGAGAAATGTACTATCGCAAAGCCGTAAGCTGTAGTGTGCAAACGACATTATATCCCGAGTTGGGAGGAGAAAATTTACAGGTAGACGAAAATGAATGTGCACAAAAAGAAGTTTTGCCACGAGGGAGAATGCTAGAAAAGCATTGATAGTAGACAGGAAGTAGTGATGAAAGTCTAGTGATTGTGGATGTTTTGGGGCAGGGAGTTTGTGGTGACGAGAAGGTCTGAAATTTTCAAGTGTGGCGAGGGTTAGTAGATTGCGGTGAATTTGAGGGGCACATGTGGATGTATGTTGGAAAGGTGACGGGGCTGTACTGAAAGAGGAGAATTGCATGGCGCAGTGAAGCAAGAGCTGTGGGAGAGAGGACGAGGGAACGTATTTCGTGGCGGGCAGGGGATCAATCGCCTGAGAGGATCTGGAAAGGTTTGCTGCGGTGTGCGAAGTGGTGGATGTAAGAAATTGTCAAACGTATGCAATTGTAGACGCGCTGCAAGATCTTGCAGCGGATTGAAGTTGGGGGGGGGGCTGTGATCTGCGGTGATGCGGCAGTGTAGCTAGCCTGTATTTTCCACATTCGCTTTCAAATCAGCCATGCCAATGTCAAGCAACCCGGACATGAGTAGTTCCAGCTCCAGCTCGTTATAGATCCTAATGTCTTCGTAGGGAATGAGCTCGTAGAATCCCTTTTTTGAAGGCTTCAATCTGCTTCTCGATCGCCTTCGTCATACGCACTTCCGTCACCAAGCGTACATATATACATATTATATATGCTAGAAGGCGCAACTAAAATTTGCAAAGGCAGGGTTCATATGCTGACCCTCGAAAACTATTGCTTAAAACAAGCGATTTCATTAAATCATGTTTTTGCGCGCATTTGCGCACAAAAACTGCCAGATAATGCTGCAAAATGAAAAATCATCACTT